CCCCAGTGCTCCTTCCTGCCCATGGCAGAGGGTCGGACTCGATGATCCGTCTAGGTCCCTTCCCACTCGTTCTATGATTGAAGTGCTGGATGCATTGTGACCTTACCACCTATCACACCTATTGTGAGGGAGCTATGCTTGGGAGGGGCCTGCAGCATCAGGGACCAGGCACTAGCTTAGGGGTTCTCAACCTTTCTCTTCCTGAGGCCTCCCCTAGCATGCTGTAAAAACTCCATGGCCTGTCTGTGCCACAACAACTGCCTGACTCCCCAGCCCTGCGCACAAGGCCCTGGGTGCAGTGGGTAGGGTTCAGTGGTGGGGAGCCTCTGTGCCCCACCCACCTGAGCAGTAGCAGCATGGAGCCTTGCCTGCCTGCCTGCAAGGCTGCCCACAAGACAATGGCTGCAGGGTAGGGCCCGGGCCCGCCCCCATCCCTTCCTCTGTCTTGCCTCAGCCCCAGGGACCAAAGTGGCTCCTCCCTGCACTGGGCCAGGCTGGGCATAGCCCCTGTAACCTGCTCACAGCCGGCTAGGGCTGTGGACCCCTGGTTGAGAACTGCTGCACTAGCTCATGCTTAGGCCTGTCCTCCCTTCTATCTCAGCTGTGTTTCAGAGCCAAAGGTATCAGGGCTGTTGCTGTCAAGACTGTCTTTCCTCTTCTCTCCCCTACTGACTCAGCAGCAGCTTTGTGGGGCTGGTACACATGGTGATGTTTCTGCCTTTGATGGTGAATGTAAGACAGGTTTGCTCATTTTCTCGTTCCGTTTCCTACCTCTCCAATTACTGGGTTAAACTGGGATAGAACAGAGTTACAGCATGTGCAGAAAAACACCTCCAACAGAGGGAGAAAGCAGTTGTGTTTCCTCCCAGGCATCTTGAGGGAATGGGCTAACTTCTTGCCTCTCTTGCCATTTGTGACAGCTGAGGCTGTTGACAAGTTCTGGTTTCCCTCGCTCTTTGCTTCCTCCCCTTTGCTTGGTTGTGGGATTCTCCAAGGGAATGTAGGTGGGTGATCAATAGGCAATGAGTACCCCTGTGTGGAGGCCCTATGGGTAGCAGGGGCATTACACTGGGAGTCAAATGCTGCACATGGCATTATATGGCTGTTTTTTTACTCAAAATAGCCATGAGCTAATTCTGTACAGTCCTGGCTACAAACTCCAGCTTAAGCCTGTGTGTTCCCCCCTGAGATGTACTTATTCTTTGAAGATCCAGCCCTACTGAGCATATAGTTTTTCGTTTCAGTAACTTCAGCCTGACCCTTCCAGACACTTGGCTGAGTTTCCTGCTGCAGCTCAGCCCTGTCCTGCCTCTCAGTGACCAAATTATATTGCACTTTGGATTGATCCAACTTACAGCTATCACAAAACCATGCTAAGCAGCTGAGGTCAAGAACTGGTATTGTAAGAGCCTGAGACGCAACTGAGCTCTGCTACCCGTGTACAACTGTCATTCTCTGTCAGTGCCATATATTGCTCCTGTGCTAACCAGCACTCCCAGGTGCATCAGGTCCTTTTCAACAGCTAGTGCAGGTTTCTCTTTGGCTGAGCATGATGCTGATTGTGCAGGAGAAGATCTGCCACAACCGTGCTGAGCACACAGCCAAGGCCTGCACAAACCACTAACAAATGAATGTGCCCCGATACCACTGGGACCTAGGCTGGAGCCTGAGACTTGGCAGATGGGATACATGCCATGCAGCAGATGGTAACAGTTGGTGCCCTCTAGTAACCAGGACTAGCAGTAGTATCCATCAATGTGATGTCACTGCAGCCACTTGACTTTCCTAAGATGCACGCTTGTTTCCCGTCCCCCTTGGACTTGCACTCCATCGAGGAGACAACTCTGGAAGTGATGAGGGGTGAATGCAGCAGGGGGAAGGAGGAAATGAGCCCTGCCAACATGGATCAGAAGTTCCTGCTCTCATGCAAACGAAAGGGCTTGTGGAGGAGAGCCTGCAGGAGGAAGGCAGCCATACCCTCTGACCCATGAGACTGAGCCCCTGGGCCTTCCTTGATGGACAAACCCTATTAAAATGGATCCCTTTACCTCTTGTAATTTTGGCAGCTGGACACTAGTATTGTAAATATGTTCTTATTGCTGGGACTCAACTAATAAGGTATAGATAGGAACCTGCTGCCCCGACAGCTGAAACGGGTGAAACACTGCTGCTGTTTGGCACTGCCTAGTAACCTTCTCTACCAGTTTAGAGAATTCACATAGTTGATGCACAATGATGAACATAGCTATCCCCCTGGCATTTGGCTAGTAGAAACCACAGCTACTCTTGCAAAGTGTTAATCTCCAGTGGCTGCCTAAGTATCTCCTAGAATCATCTTCCCTGCATCTTCCCTGTATTGCTTGTAGCAGAAGCATCACTGGACCATGTGTGAGGGTTGATTTGCCAAGAATCATTGTTGTCAGCTCTTTGGAGGTCTCCCATCTACATCACAGCAAGGTCCAGTACTGATGAAAGCAGTAAAGAGCAGGGACTAAAGCTGAGAGAGTAAGCTTTAAAAAGCCTTTTGGGCTGTGTTGATACAGAGCACTCCTGGGGTTTACCACAATTATCCACAGGACAGTAACCTGCAATCGCAGCCAGCTGCAAGCCAGGTAAACAATGAGGAGTACTGTCACTGCTGCCAGGCACATCAAGGTGCTGAATGAGGGCTGCAGAGGAATTGTGTTTCAGTGCAAAGCTGGGGAGTTAAAGCACTGCCTTCTCCCACCATGTCCCTTGAAGCAGCTGTAAGCAGAACCCAAAGGTCTGACCCACTAATGAGACAAAGAAGCAGCACAGAGCTATTACTGCCTTCTCTATTAGACCAGGAGGGATCTGTATTTGCCCAGTGGAAATAAAGCAAGTCACAGTTACTGCAGTGCCTCTAGGGAAGACAGGTTCAGCAGTGAGAGCAGAGGAGGAGCTGAACCCTGCATGAGGCATCAAATGTGTTTGATATTATCCAGTAGCACCCAAAAGTGCAGCAGTTAACACAATAGGGTCGTTTCAGGGTCTTTGCTGCAAGTGGGAGATCTGATTATACAGCTGGTAGAAATAGCTCAGGCACTGCCTCTACCTCCCCCCACCCCCTCCAGGATGTTTGCCACAATAGGTGGTGTCAGCCTGTAAAGTAAATCAGTCATCCCACACAAAGGCCCCATGGGATCTGCCACTGGGGACCCAATGATTTGAATCCCACTTGAGCAGTGGTTCTGCTCAAGACATAGTTTCATAGTTAGTAGGGTCAGAAGGGACCTGAACAGATCATCGAGTCCGACCCCCTGCCATGGCAGGAAAAAGTACTGGGGTCAAATGACCCCAGCAAGGTGTTCGTCTAGTCTTGTCTTAAGACCCCCAGGGTAGGAGCCAGCACCACTTTGCTTGGAAGTTGGTTTTAGATCCTAGCCGCCCTGACCGTGAAGTAGTGCCTCCTGATGTCATCCCTTGATAGATTCAAGATCCCCTCAGAAAATGCCAGCTCTTAGTTTTTTCTTGATTTTAGCTTACAGAAAAATCTTAGAGCAATTCTTCTGTTGCAAAAAACTCAGAAAGACCACAACAAGTCAGGATGTTTTTAACATTATGGATTCCTATTTGAAATCTCTTTTTTTGTCATCTGAATCATGTTTGCATACCTAACAGTGCTAACGTTATCTGGCACCTAGTGCCATCCTTGAAAGAATCTCAAGGTGCCCTGGTTGAGAATCGCTGTACTAGAGCCTCTGGAAATCTTCATTGCGCATTAAAGAGCTGGTTCTTTCCTCCTTGGCTGATGTTCTCTTCTCATGGTCTTAGCCACCTATCGTTAAGTTTGTTACTCCTTGTGACTGGAAGCAGATGAAGAGTGGGCATTAAACATGAGCCAGCCACAGGGACTATTCCAGCAACCACCTCTGTCTCCACTATGGTGCTTTCTGCACATAGTGCCTGGAAGGCTCTGCCAGGCCCTCCCTGTGTAGCTCATGACTGGAATTATCACGGAAAAGGAATCGGGTAAAGCCCATTAGCCAGAGCCTGTCAGGATGATGCTGGGGAGGGTAGCCAGCTTCCTCTGCCCATAGCAGATGCCTAGCAGCAGAAGTCTTCTGTAGTCAGTGAGCAGATATCTGGGTTCCAGGACCCATTGCTTGGCAAGTCCTCAACCCACACCCCACAGAAACTGCTTGGTCCAGAAGATGGAGAAGATGAGCAGCAGCATCACGCTGAGGATGATGGCCATCACATAGGCAAAGATGCGGAACTGGGGGTTACGGAGACACTCCCGCAGTGTGGACTGGCTGGGGAGAGGGGTTCGTCTAGGGGAAGCCTGGGAGTTACCCACCCTGGTCTCCAGTCCCGGTCCTGGCTCTGTCCCCAGGTTGAGGGTGTAGACGCGGGGCTGGCGCAGGAAGTAGCGTGACTTCCGTTCATCCTTCAGGCACAGCTGCCTCCCCTCTAGGATGATGTGGTTGGGTTCCAGCCTGAGCAACCTCAGGACAGCGGCATTGGTGGGCAGCTCAGTGACAGGCTGGTCGGAGGGCAGCACTGTGGGGTGGCGGCACAGTGGGCATTGTAGCCGGTTCTGGATAGGGGACACCAGGCTTAAATGTGCCAGGCACTCAATGCAGAAGGAGTGGTGGCATTGCAGCAGCTTCGGGGTGCGGAAGGTGTTGTTGTAGGGGTTCCAGCACACCGGGCAGTCTGCCTCCGGCTCATGGCTCAGCCTTTTGGCCATGGTCTCAGTGGGGCAATGTGATGCCCCGCCCTGGGGCTGTAGCAAGTCCCATTTGGTGAAGGGACTGCAGGGAAGATGATTGCACCAGCTGCCTGGAACAACACAAAAAAGCCAGTGAACAATGCACCCCAGGGAGCTGCACTTGAGCCCACTCCAAGCCCAAAGCAGGATCCATGGCTATCCTGCATGGCAATGGGACCAGGGGTTCACTGATGTGACTGGTGCTGATTATCACAACCCTTTACCAAAGAATAACTGCCACATGATCTCTGGGGAGGGGAGGTGGGGGGGCCGAATGCAGAAATAGAAAATCTCTGCTAGTCACATGCTAATGCTCCCAGCAGCAGAGCCCTAGGAGAGAGCAAGCAGCCCTCAGCTAAGCCACACAGGGCTGAACATTAAAAGCAAGCTCATAACTGGATTGTAAACTTAACAGCAGAGAGACACTGCATTTGCTCTGTTTTGATGACAGCGGTCCCACAAAGAGGCAGAAGCCAAGTTATGCCGGTGTGTCACGGCTTCCTCCCAGCTCCCCCACAAGAAACTCAAGCATGTGACAAGCACAACTGCCCAGCTGATTTTGAACTTGGTGGCCAGCTGTCCATGGACCTTAAAGCTGGCTCTGATACAACCTGCCCACAACCTACAAACACAGTCACCACTGCAGGGTCAGATATTTGGGAAGAGGTCCAGAGCAAGACATTACCAGACTGGGGAGTTCCCTTAACAAATGCTGCCTCGATTCCCTCTATCCAAGTGTGTTGCTTTGGAAGTGTTCAGAGGGAGGGTCCGAAAAGGACTCAGCACTAGGTGACAGCACAGAGGGAAGAACAGCCTCAGTAAGCGGGGGTCTGCTGGCCTGCCATCCCACAGTAGACTTGGGGTGTGACCGTGCCCACCTTTCCACCCCCAGCCAGCTGCAGCCCCCGTCTCTGCCTCTGAAAGAACAAAGAGCGATACCCCACGTCTGACTGGGAGCAGGGAGCTCCCAGGGAAAGGAAGGGCTGTGGGGTAGACTTACTTTTCTGATGGGGCTCTGGGGTCAAAGGCAAATGCTGTCAGCCTTGCAATCCCCTCAAGGGCCAGATGATGCAGCAGGGCTGGTCGCCTGCCCCACGGGAAGGCTAGAAAGCAAACCTTGCACAATGCTCCTTGGCCTTCCTGCTTCTTTCCCCTCTGCCTCTTCCTCCTCCTCCTCCTCCTCCCTCGCTCTCTGTTGCAGACAGACACCATTACTCAGCGCCGGGCAGGACCAGAGTTCACCTTGACAAACAGGTTCCTAATGGCCACACCAGAGCTGAGCATGCGGGAGACAGCACGTCCATGAGCGAAGCGACCCTGAGAAGCTGCGCTGGGAGGGGATCCCTGCCTGTCTTGGGGACAGTGCCCTCCTCCTGGGCGGCTGCAGCTGATTTCCATGGGAGTGGCACAGGAGTTGGCAGACGGGTGTTGTTTACTGAAGCATCAGATACCTGAGAGAGGAGCAGAGCAGGTGGGGGAAGGTAGATGAACCCTACCCCAGCTAATGAGGCAAAGTAGACCATGTTCATCAGCTCCCCAAACTCCTCACAGCCCCTGGAGAGACAGTAGGTTGTGGAAAGCTGACAGGCTGCTAAAGCCTGAGAGGAAACAGGCTGACTGGTCAGTCATGACTGAAAGCTGCTCCTTCCTAAGGGCTGCTGAGCCCCCGTGTAAAAGGAAGCTGGTTTTGAATGGATAGGTGTCCAGCTCACAGGGAGCCACCTTGAATGGATACCTCCATAGAGAAGAGAGGCAGAGATGGAGCCATCTAGGCCACAAGGACAAAACACCCTCCTGTCTCCAGGGCCAGGCAAAGTCTCACCTGTGCCACAGCACTGATCAGCCCCACTGCTGCCCATCTTTCTCCTTTTCTGTTGCTCAGTAGAGGTCCATCAGGCTCAGTGGCAAGAGAGCGGCTGGGGAAGTCTCCTCAGCTTCCCCTGTGATGCTGGGCAGGGCACGGGACACACAGAAGCTGCCCATTCTCACCCCTGGACTCAGCTGGGGCCACGTCTGAGTGACACACTGGTCTGTACATCAGGCATAAGTTCTCTGCCCTTCACCCCACAGCAGCTGAGCACGCAAGGGGGTATCTGTCTTTGCAGGCTTGCCAGGCCTGTCTTCAAACACTACCATGCAGAAGCACAGTATCAAGGGCATAAAAGCATATCCCAGTGCAAGGAAGGATGGGGAGCATAGCAAGAGTCCTGCCTGGTTAGGCAGTGAGCTCTTTAATGACTTAGGATTTTAAAAAATGAAGGCTCGACCATATTTCTAAGGATGAACATGAGAGTACAATACTTGTATAGAGCAGCATTGTGGGACCTTTGGCTGTTTTAGAGCCCCCTCTCCTCCCAGAAGAGGTGGGTGCCAACTTCTCTGCCCCACTCCTTCCAGTCCTATCCCTCCACTACACCCACCAGGTTGGAGGGAAATCCTGATAGGAACAGAAGATGGGGACAACGTCCTCGTCTCCAGGTGCCACGGGGCTGTGATACTTCATGCAGGTCCACCAGGTGCAGCACTCATACTGTGAGTAGATGGATGTTGTAGTGCAGGGCTGCAGCCCCTGGGGATGACAGAAGAGCGAAAAGGCTCTTTCCATGCGGGTGGATCTCATCTTTCTGGATCTGGCCCAGGCCAGGGTTCTTATTCATCTGTCTGCTTGTTTCCAGCTCCAGAGGGTCCGTTCTCACCTGACCTCCATGCCTGACACAATCCTAGTGGGAGCCCTGGAAGCACATCCATCCAAACAAGAGGAAAGCTCCTGGGCACTCCTGCTCCTGTCACTTAATGACTGAGCCTGCCTGACTTTGCAGTCCCCCAACAAACCCTCTCTTCCAGGAAGCACTTGGCCTGGAGGGACCCCTGAGAACATATTTATAGCCAATGGTGAGACTGTCTTGCTGAGAGTCTGGTATCACCCTGGTCTCTAGTGTAAACATGCACTGGATCCATTACAATAGTCTAGAGCCCAATCTCAAAGGCATCCCAGCTCTGAAGGGTTCGGCTCCATTATCACTAGCACATGTCAAGTCTTGCCCATGGCTGTCTTCATTTGATTCATTTCCCTGTGTGCGTGGCTCTGGAGTAAGCTGGTAGCAGCATGTTGTAGTAGCTGTTGTCCTGGGAATGAGGCCACAGCACAAGAGGAGGCTGGGACACGTGGTGCATGGGCAGGGCTGGCAAGAGACGATGATTGATGCAGGACTGTTGGCAGTCTGCCTTAAATGAGCTCAGACAAGTTTCTTGTGTTTTATGCTCCACGGCTAAAACACTTGGATCCTCTGGTGGCAGGGCCCCTCACGGGGGCAGATGGCATGGGGAGGCAGGAGCTTGTGATTCAAATTAGATAAGCACAAGGTAGGGCAAGGGACTGAAGAGGGGAAGGAAGTGTCCTCTGCACACTGGGTCTTTCCAGCCATCTCCCATGCTGATGCTTTGGGCTGTCTCCATGTTCTCCCCAGCACTGCAGTTGAATGTGCTGCTTGGGCATCATCCTACAAGAGGCCAAGCGCAGCTGACAGGCAAACTCCTATCCCTGATTTTAAGCTCAGGGTAAGATGTTGGGCCCCTTGGCCCAGTGTTTAAATGCTCAGGCCTGGGCCTCTGTCCTGGCACTCTAATCTTGGCCAAGGTCTGGGTTACACCAGAAAGTTGTTCTGTTTTAGTTCAAACCACTTTTAAACCCCTTTCGTTTCATTGGTACAAACTGCTGATTCATTTCCACTTAGCTTCAGTCATTTGGCAACCCGCTTAAGTTAAACTGAAATAAGCCCAGCAGCCTCCAGCACAGCCTCTCACATCAGTTTAATTAAATAGCTTTTGAATCACTCCTGACTCTGTGGAGACCAGCATCTATTGTCCATACTTTTGGGTCCTTCAGTGCCCAACCCAAGATCTGATTTTTCTTAGATGCTAACACCTGCCTCCTTAGATTCTGATGTGGAAATGTGGGCACAAATCCCTTTTGGCCCAAGTTTCCCTATTTTTCAGATGGGAATATGATCCAGCTTGTAGGAGCAGCTGTGTGGAGTTAGTCATGAATACATACGTGCTGCATGTTATTATCAGTAATGCTTAGCCAGGGAATTGAAATAACCCTGCCCCAATATCTATAGATTCAAGGCCACACACAATGGCGGCATTTTTAAAGGCCTCAGAAAGGGCCAATAAAAGAAAACTCCATGGAACAAAAAGCCTTTGGGCTGGACTTCTTTCAGAAAACTGCAAGGTGTTACTCTTGACAGGGCTTCTCAGTGCTTGTCTCTGTCTGGGGATCTCTGTAGCTTGCAAAGAATAATGCACACTATTCCTGTGGGCTTCCGGGGACAGGAACTTTTTCTTTATTAGATGTACAGCCTGCAGCCCATGGGTTTGGGTCCATGGCTGGGACTCCCAGGTACTACCACAATACAAGAAAGAAATAAAAATATCATCAGTCAGTCATGGTGTGTCTAAGGTTACTGTCACTATGTGTTAGCACTGGAGGGCACCTGCCCATTCCCAGAGCCACTTAAGTAGCCTCCCCTCTCTGGCGACTCTCATCCAAGGCTGTGGCTAAGGGAACCTCATGGTTACAGGAAGAGCACAGGAACAAACCCTGCTGTTGTCCCAGCCACCGTCCTGGAGAAGCACTGCCTGTCCTGAGCTAAGGGTTGCCCCCACATTGTTCCAGAGTGCAGGCTACCTGAGTCCCTTGGATTCAAAACCCCATGTTTCATGTCAGGCTCCTCTCTCCTGCAGATGTCTTTCTATTGTCCCCATTTTTCCCTAAGGTCCTTTGCCCCTCTCTGATCACCTGCCCCAATGCTGGCTCTCTCCTCAGGCCACATCCCTGTAGCAGAGACAGAATATCTGGTAACCACGGCAGCTGCCTACCAACCAGAAGTGTAAGGTGCTTGACCTCGTCTATCTATGCACACAGGGGGTATCTGCTTGGTTGGGGGAGAGGAGATCTGAGTGCTCAGAGATACTGGTCTTGTGGCACTGTTGAAACTCAGGAGTGGTGAGTCAAGACAGGGAGGAAGCGAGGCTAACCAAGCCACCTCCACAGCCATCCAGCGGACTCAGAGCGCTCCCTACAGGCTGTGACCTTGCAGATAGGAGTTGCAGAGGGCTGGTCCCCTGGCCCAGCCAGGCTGGCAACCACAGGCTTTGCACTCCTAGCCCAGCACCTCAGCCCCACCACTGTGCTACATCCCTCAGAGGATGAGAGCTCAGACTGAATGAAGGGAAAGCTGGGCCCAGGCCATAACCCTCAACAAGTGCAGATGCAGTGATGACTCCAAACTTGGCACCTGGCTCGATCTCAGTGTCATAACAGCCTCAGCCGCTCCCCACCAGACCCAGCTGCACATAACGATGTGGAACCAGGCTGAATGGCCTGACTCCTTCCTCCTGCAGAGCAACGACTCAGCTGTGAGAAAGGGGCACATCCTGAGCAGTTTTTTGCCCAGAGCCAGCCCTGCTCCTCTCAGCTTCCTGGTGGCAGGCACTCAGGGGGAGCTGTCGGTTGCCACAAGTGGGCTGAGAGCTGTCATGTTGTGACTGGCTCTGCTGGAAGGAGGCAGAATGAAGAACAGGATGGAGCTGATGATGAGGGTGACTGTGACCATGGCTGCCACCACCAGGAGAGCGCGGCACAAAGGTTTGTCCAAGCAGCTCCAGCGACTCCACTGATCCTCCTGGTGCAGCTGGTTCTCTCGCCATGGTGGGCGGCCCACGTCCAAGCTGTGGCTGATATTGCTCATGCAGATCTGTGGCACCACAGTCCCATGGGAGACCTCAGGCAGTTGCTTGAGCCAGAGCCTGCCCTTGCTGCAGCTGAAGTGGATGCTGCAGGTCCTATTCATGCCTTTTGGGAGGCAAGATAGGATGGCAAGGTTGTTGTCTAGCTTGGGAGGCCCGCTGTCTGGGAGCCTGGTGTAGGACCAGCACATGGGGCACTGGATAGTGTCTGGCAGCTGGGACTTGACGTTGATATGGGCCAGGCACTCCAGGCAGAAGGTGTGTTGGCACTGCAGCACCTTGGGGGCATGGAAGGCATTGTTGTATTGGCTGTAGCAGATGGCACACTCCATCTCCAGGGCCAGCTCCTCCCGGGAGACCATTGCAGCAGGTCCTTGCAGCAGTGCAAGCATTCAGGCTGACACCTTAAAATGGGCACCAAGCAGACCCTGAAAATAACAGCTGCAAGCTTAGAACCCACTTTGTGCCACAACCTGACCCTAGCCATGGGCTTTGCAATGTGGGGGCAGTGCAGGAGCTACTTGCAAATTCTCCCCCTGCAGGGGCTACTTGCAAAAGAGGCAGTGCAAGGACAGCTGGCTCCAGGGATATCTCAGCCAACATGCATGGGCAGGGTGTATGTGTGTGTGTGAGGTGGGAGGGGGGCATAGCCTATTGAGGCAAGAGTCTGCTTTAGCTGCATCCAAAGAGCTACATCAAGGTGGTACAGCTCCTTCTCACCCAGGATTTAAATTATGGGGAGCTTGGAGGGGTTGAACCCCCCCATAAGAGACAAGAGCCCCCCTATAAGAGATGAGAGCCCCCTTCTCCCACAGGCCAGTCAGCACCCCTTCGCCCTCCACAACAGCCCAAAGCCTATGCACCACTGCACACAGCCCCCGGCCTGCCCCACACCTTTCTAAGCAGCACAGGCAACAGTGGCGGTGGCTTCTTCTAGCTGCCACTGCCACTGGTCCCAGCCCACGGTACTGGTGAGGACCCACGCACACAGCCCCAATCCCAGCCAACTTTTTTTGCAAGAGTTGAAGTGTAATTCAAACCCTGGTTGCACCCCTTCACAAGCCTGCAAATATTTGTATGGGCTGGTTTGGATAGGAGTGGCCCTGTCCTGGGCTGGGATTTGGACCAGTCAGCCTCCTGGGTTCCCTTCCAGGCCTACTTTTGTGGGATTGCCAGCCACAAATTCTAGCCCATGAGTTTGATCCCAAAGCAATGAGGTCAACAAAAACTCATTGGCTTTCCAGTGTTGGCAAGAGCTGCTTGGGCAGGGTCTACAACTGACCAACTGAGACCTCTTTGTTGGGTTATGTTTAGGGCTGTGTGAAATTTTGCCAGATGTTTTGCTTCAAAGCTGTTTCAGTGCATTTCAAGCTTGAAACAGCAAAATTGAAATGAAACAAAAGGCTTTGAAACAGCTTCAAAACAAAGCAAGGGCACTCGAGACATTTTGAAACTTTCTAAACATTTCGAGTTTTGAAGCCCAGCTTGCTTGGCTTCAGCGCCGGTCCCAGCTGGCAGTGGCAGCCTCCTGTCGTCCAGCATGCAGATCGGGGCACTGCACCCCCTGGGAGGAGTCTGGCATAGCCCTGCAGCCCTCCTGGGGGTGCAGGTCCCCAGATCTGCGTGCTGGATGACAGGAGGCTGCCGCTGCTGGCAAGTGTCACAAGTTTTGCTTTGAACAGTTTGAGGTGCAGTTTCTCAGAAACCTCTTCACCTATCTCCTTGAAACTTGGAAGGCTTCATGCCCTCGGAAGGAGCTACCATCCCTGCAAGTTTCATCTGAATCAGGAAAGAAATGACAAAGTTTTAGGCATTTTCATGCTTCCCCATTATATCCTATGGGCAAACCATCGAAACAGCTTTGAAATAGCGAAACAGTTTAGACAAGACGAAACGGAACAGTGCTTTCAAAATGAAACGAAACTCAAAACGAAACACTGTCCCATCAAAATGGAAAAATGGAAGTTGAAATGAAACTGCTGTTTTGCACAGCCCTAGTTATTTTTTATTGATTACCTCTTGCCCTCTCCCCAGTACCTGCTGTGGTCTCTGCTACCCGCCCCCTGGCTGGGGAATACTTTCACTCATACTCATAAGAGAATATTGGCAGACAGCAGTTTCTACAGCCCTAGGAACAAAATTGAATTGAATGTGACCCACTGAACCTATTTCAGCCTTATTTGAAACCCACTGAACCTATTTCAGCCTTACTATCTCTAGTCTTGACTGTATACAGTCAGGTAGGATAGAGCAGTGGATATATCTAGGAATTATGTGTAATAATTATCAAGAGCTCTTCCTGCTCATGATGCCTTAAATTTACAAGGATGCATTTAATTTCACATGGTTTGATGGCAGGAGTCATCCAGTTCATGGACAGCACCTACTATGCTGGGATTCTCACCCATGACTGGGGTTCAAATTAATACAAATTAATAAATATTATACAGGAGTGGGTTTTATGGAACATACTGTTTGCTTCCGCTGCTTAATAGTTAACTTTGCCCAGGCAGGCTGCATAGCACACACTGTGTTGTGGTGGCGGGACAGGCTCAAGGCTGTAGCTACAGATTGCTAATGGCATTTAGGACACCAGTGCAGGTTTTCTGATGACCGCTGAAGCACATTGTGTGGTGGATCATGTTAAAAACGCTGTACGAGACAATATTTAAAGGGAAAAGCTAATTAAGTATTATGGTGACAACTGCATGTGTCCCTCTAACCTCTCCTAGTTCAGTTCATGGACTTGATGTCAGTGAACTGAGTAAACCTCAGCAGCCTCCTCTTTCTTGCTCAGTGTCTGTTTGACCCTTGATTTGGCTCTAGAAAGCAAAGAGAATTGTTCACATCTAACCTGAGTGAGGCCCAGATGATGCACAATCCAAGCAGAGATTCCTCATGCTGGGGAGAGAGAAGAAATCCAGGCTTATCTGCTTCCTTTCAACTTGCTGAAATCAGCAGCCTTCAGTGAGAGAAAAACTGGTTTGCCAGGGAGGGGAAAGCTTTGCCGTAGGAAGTAAGGCATGCAAAGCAGCCCATTTACATGGGCTATCCACATTGGCACGGCTGGTGGAGATGACAGGTTAAAGCTGCACTGTGCATTGTGAACCCATAGATCTGAGGGAAGCTCTAACCACAAGTGAGGGGAGTGGGGGGACATGACCTCCATCATGGCAGGGGTGAGGAGGAAGCATTCGCTTGGTTCTTTCTGTAGGCATTGGCTAATAGTCTTAAACATGCAGCTAAACCAGGGGAGGGGAGGCAAAATATGGCCCACCAGACCATCCTATCTGGCCCACGGGGCCTCTAAAAAATTTAGAAAATTAATATTTATCTGCCCCTGGCTGCCTGTCATGCGGCCCTCAATGGCTTGCCAAAAATCAGTAAGCGGCCCTCCGCCCAAAATAATTGCCAGCCCCTGAGTTAAACAGATGCCATAGCAGGTGGCAAAGGTCACTGAGTGATGGACTTCAGCAAGGCCTTTGACACCGTCTCTCACCCCATCCTAGTTAAAAAACTAGGTGACTGTGGCATCGATGCCTACACAGTCAGATGGATTGCAGATTGGCTGAGGGGTCGCACTCAGAGGGT